TTTGCATTCAAATTAATGATAAATAAATCCTATGAAAATATGCATTTACAAATTGAAAATTGCAAATGACGGTAAATTTATAGAATTGGATTTGAAATTTCAAATGCAGTTTTGAGCGTGCACTTCCAAATTGTTATAACGTGTACAAAATCTAATGGGAGTCTTTTACCAACTAATATTTATAGAAATATCACTGAATATTCTAAAAATATGTATATCATTAAAGCCAAAAAAAGACGAACATACTGCAGCGTGTCTACGGTCGTCACTAAATGCAGTAATAATGTTATTAAATATGTCATTCAATTTTAATATTTATTCTTCCCATTCCACAGCTATGTTCTACAGGGGGTTCTCAAATTGAATTTTTGAAACAATCCCACAATTGTCAAGTATTTTGCTGTCGCTAGTAAACTTTATCCCTGTATGTTAATAATGAAAAAATGCAATATTGATTTCATTGTTAACTGCAATATTATTTACAATTTTTATTTTTGAATTTTCTTGGGCAGCGGAGCATATTCTTTGAATATTTTGAAAGTCTACTGAAATTTTGTTTTGTTTTGCCTAGATCACATGTATTTATGGAAGGTGAAGATAAGAGGTTGTAGATGAAGGATCCGAATTTCTTTTTCCTCTTCCAAAAGAATTAGAAATCCGTAAAGATTAGGTTCTCTCTAATTATAATGATCGCAAACTTTTGAATTTAATAACATATTACTTTAAAATATTTCTAAACAAGTTTAATCAAATATCAATGAATCATTTGATCTTATTTAGAATTGAAGTCGTAAAAAATAAAAATTTTCTGTCAAACATGCGAAGGTACGTTAATCTTACTAATGTACGTCAGTGCACGACAAAAGTAATTTATGAAAATGTGATTTTGCAGAATGATCTTACTCTGAGCGAAAACATTTTTTGTGGCTAAAGAGAGTAACACATATCTACAGGCAGTCATGAGAACAATTTGTATGGCATTTTTCTCCGAAAATGAAATAATTTCGGAACTTCGGAACGGAATAAAAATTTGACGATTTTTGGATTACACTTTTCTTACCCGACATTACATAATATCATATTAATACATATCACAAGACAAAAATATTCAAGAATTATTCCATTACGTATTGCAATAGTAATTATTTAATAACTATGTTATTTGTTTTCTAAGTTTTTGTAAGGAAAAAGAACTTTGGAAAATGACGTAATTAATTAATGACGTATTAATATTAATTATATTTGCATATTAAAATTCATAATTGATGGACATGGGAGTATAAGATGCCTTCAAACTAAAATTGAATTTTAGACACAGTATGTCACATCTCTATCTTCATAATTAGATTGAAACAATGACAAACATTACTATAATAGTTTGCCATTTATTGTAAAAAAAATTAATACATTTTACAAAGAAACAAATAGGAAACCTTAGGGAGGTTTAGATGATAATATTTCAATCTTTGCCTAACTTTGATTGATATCAAGATTCTCAATGTCTTCTTACTCGTGAATCAATGGAAATTTTGCATTTCATTAAACGGGACTCGATGTATGTCATTTTCACGTGATCCCCATGTGCTCTCTATACTCCACCCAAGACACGTTCCACGTCGATGTTCCTCCACTGTCTGAGACAAGAAAGGCTATAAAAGCTGCTGCCGCTGCATGACCGGCAGGGTATCGTGTTCGCGCGGTCGCGGATTTGATACACTAGCCAAATACCTACATGAAATTCAATCGCTTTCTCACAGTGACGATAACCTGGTATGGTAGATACTTTTCCTTGATTTCTCCACCAATACCAGATGAATGCCGGAGCAAACACACGGGTCGCGGACCGCGTGCGATATTTTCTCTCTCATCATATTTACGCTTTCCTCCCCCCATCCTTGTCTCCCCTCTCCCCTTTTATAGACATACATATACGCATTCACTTACACACACACACACACACACACTACACTACCACTCATCGGGAGAGCAGGCGGAATCTTACAATTCGTCCGTGCTAGGGTGGTGGCTCGCTGGCGGATATACCAGTAGAAAGAAAACTCAAAAGCGGACGTATAGTCGATGCTGAATCCCTTTTTCCTAAAACAGTGGAACACCGCCACCCATGGATAGAATGCACTACATATACGAGACTATTGACCCCAGCAGTTGACACGCCCATGAACACAAAATCAATCAATCCTTGTTTCTCCACACCTTCCTTCAATTATTCAGTTCCCGAGGCGAGAGGGGGGGCGGTGTTCTGTTGAATCGGCGTGAAAAGGGGGCGATCGGAATAGTGTGTTTGTTCCTTCGGGGGCGCGCCCCCACCTCAAAGACAGTGGCCTGCGGTAAGCGCCGGTTGCGTTGCGTGATCTTTCCATATTTGATATACGGCCTCGCTTTCGGGGCGGCCGGGCAGCGTGCTTGCAGCATGCGAGGCACACGCGGGTCCCCCTTAAAAGATTTAGTTTCCCTGGAGGTGAATGAAAGGACATTTAGGCGGGAACATTATAGCGGCGCTCTCCGCGTGATATATGGTCGCAGAGGCTCGGAACTTGCGACCTTTCTCTTGCCACTGAAAATACGAATCTGTTGGGCCGGTCTTCAGAGGGTGTTTATTTCTCTTTCGGCGCCTCATGGAAGAAAATTGTGTGTTTTACGGTGTCACGTGTTGGAGAGTCAAAAATGAAGGATGGAGCACTAACCCAGTGTATTCCCTGCCAAGAGGTTTTGAATGTTTTGTCCGGTTGAAAACAGAAGAAAACAACTGTATTTCTTATTGAACTTCTTTGATTTAGGGCTGAATTTTTATCTTCACGTTGAAATAAAGGAAAGAAATAGAAAATAAAACATTATAATTTTGAATTAAAGTATATTTTACTCTTTTTCTGTGGCATAATAATACAGTGTGTTTCTAAGAAAAGAACAGTTCAGCTTGTATTCGTATTTGAGATGAATCACCAAAGAGATCTCAGATTTATTGTACATTTTGTGGATGCCTCTTTTTCTTAATTGCGGTGCTCTTTTTATATAATTTACTTTCTCAGCACCTTTACTGCAGCATAAAGTTGAACATCTAAGTAACAAGCTGTTTCATTGCCATTTCTAGAAAAGTAAAAATCTTAACGTAAAACCTTCCTCCATTCATTAAAAGGTTTTTTTTCTAAGTGTGATCTATTTAGTAAATGCTTATATTATATATCAATCCGTTGTAATTTCTCATAAATTCAAAAATTCCTATAAAAAATAAATTTAAAATAATGTCTGAAATATACACGTGGATGTTACAATTAAGACACTACTGAATACGTTCCCTGATTACTTTTAAAATTCTCTCGTTCAAGACTAATAACAATCACAAAATATGGATTCACTGGGCACACACTTGACAGTACTATATGTCTGTCTTTAATATCATAAGATCTCATATTCTGTTATCGGCCATCAATATTTGTTGTGTTTGTCTATAATATTTACTAATTTTTTGTTTGTGAGAATACACCTAGTATTATTTGATACCTTTGACGAATTGAAACCGTCTCAGATGGTATAGAGCATCAGCCGATGTTATTGCAGTACCTCTGATCGAAAGGTCATTGGCATTGCGTTCCGACTGAGGCAGGATGTTTTAAACTATTTGGATTGCTAGGTCGAAATCAGCCGTTGACTGGTGGATAATTTTAGTGGCAGGCTGCAGCAGCTGTAATCGGTTGTTTTCCGTGGTTTCTTCGATGAACACCAGGTGAATGCCGGAGCATTATCGTAACAAACGGGCTACGTTCCGCGCGCAAAATTTCCTGCCTCATCTTTGTTCTATTTTCTCCCTTTGACACACAAAAATACACACATACTCACACACACACACTTGTACATGCATTACTCTACCATCATCTCGGGTGCTTAATGTTTTTCGACTGGGTCGGTTCTCCTATGGTGGGAGTTACCTAATAGCCAACATGTAGACTTGTGCCGGATCTCACCATCCAGCAGGTGACGTACACTGCCACCTGCAGTGATCAAAACATGCAGTACACTCCCGGGGTACACAACGATCGTAGTAGTTGACGCACCCTAAACACTAAATAATCAATCAATTAATTAATTTCCTCATTCAGATATCCTTGAACCAAAACTTCTAGTGTTTTATCTTCACTTTGTAGAAGAGAACTGTAGCCTATCCCATAAATTACGGGTATATATTCTATCAGCTACACGTATAAACATACACTGCATTTTGAAGAAATGTGTTTTAACTGGAGTGATCTTAAACAGGCTAGTCGAACTGGCTCAGTCAGAGGTCATTCTTGGAGTTTTCGCTTTGTTTATTGGTATTGGCGACCACCAATTGTGATCAAAAAGTTGCATAGAGAATTATTCAAGAACAGTTAATAATTCTGAAAAATAATACACGTTCACTTCGAACAAGCTTTTCAATTATTGCTGTCACTCTGGTCAAGTGCTCAGTTAATTGCTTCAATTTTTCAGATAGGTTAACTGCTACGGCCTTTAGTTACATTCAGTGAATGTTTTGTCGCCAAATGTGGTGGTGTTCCTCTTCTGTTGGATGGGCAGAATCGGCACCGAATTACTTGTCCGCTTATGGGAAATTTCTGCCCCTGGGATCTCTCCCAGAGGGATAGCTCTCCAGCTAGTACAATCTCTACGCTTTCTTGAAGTTCCCCGACATTTTTAATAGTGTAGTTCACATAAGTGTAAGTTTGTGTGATCATGGGGACAGTCTTAGATAAGGAAGTCGAAGAAATATCACACGAGAGTCGTGGCCCGTTTGTTATGGCACTGCTCCGGCATTTGACTGGTATTGATCGAAGACGGAGTGCTCTTAACACTTGCTGTTGCGCAGCTGAGATAAGACTGTTTTTGTTTTAAAATGTTACGACATGTGACTCACAGACATCACCTGGACAGATTAGGCGTGTACGAGTATAATGTATTCCACTCGTTAATTTCTTTGATTGCATTTTAAATTTTTTTGATTTCAGGGGGCGCTGCTGCTGGCTGTGCTAGCGTGCCTGGGCTCCGCCAAGCCACCGCCGGGCTACATCAAGAAGCCTGAAGCTGACGAGGTGAGTAAAACAGTGGAGGCGATTGCTCAGCCGCCACCGGCGCCGCATTCGATCCCCTTTGTCTTCTCGCTGCTGCGTGGAGAGCGCACGATTTATTTAGTAGCCGGACAAATACGCCTTGGGAAACGGCACTCGACCCGCACCGCCGGTGGACAAAATAACGCTGCCCAGAGATGCAACTTTCTGGAATAAAAATGTGCAAAGATGTTCAAAACATGGAGTAAAATACCTACTTTTTGATTCGTATTCAAACATTAAGCCATTTTTCAATAAATAACATAAACAGATTTGCCTTTGAAAAAGCTGTCTCACCCTGTGCATAATACGTTTTATGTTAGCGCCTCGCGGCAAATTCGATATTTAAATGAACAAATAATGACATCTATTATATTACATTTTCATTACATTATTTTTCGTGAGATCCAATCACCAGTTTCCAAATCCGTAAGAAGCAACTCAGGAGAGAATTCCAAAGCTCAAACGTCAACGAACTGTGTCGTATTTAAAATACTGTGTAGTTTGTTTCTGAACTCCGGAGTTAGCAATAATAATAGTGAAAACTGGAATTTGCGGTAACGTGCATATCTTTTAATAACACCATTATTTTTTATAATACCTACCGTCGCGGACGTATTGATATTTTTTTTTTAAATTGATCCTGTTCAACACATTTCTTTTACTGAAATAACATTGAAAGCATACAGCCTAAAATCTCACCTGACCGTGTGCTACAGGCTTAATGCATTTTACACAATATTGTATGGATATTTCATTTCTTAGAGTTCACTGTCCGTCGTGAGCAACAGTGAATAAAAATAAAAAGAGGATAATGTTGTTCTTACCGCTGTGAGAATATTGTTTTGTTTAATGCAGCACATAAAATTAACAAAGCTCTTTTCAATACCCACGTTCTCCACTGGTACGTCGTGATGTAGTACGCAGTGACTGAGGGCGAGCTAGAACCGAATCGCAAGTACTAAACACATGAGTTTACCGCACGTGCGAAGTAGAAAGGAAAAAGGAATGTAATGTGTCCCCTTGGGCATTGAGAGAATTTGATTATTGTTTGATGGGTCATGACAACCGTCCCAATGATTAACATAATACCTACGCTGATCGTTTCATCTAATAGCTTAGTCCGTAAGGAACGCCACATCTGAAAGCAAACTAAAAGTAAAGAAACAATAAATCTGTGTTCATCTCAAGCAGAAGTGCCTACAGGTACTAAAATTTTCCGTCGTAGGTGTTGTGAGAATTTCGTGTCTTTTCTATTCGAGGTGATAACCACTCAAAGCAATACTATAACAAATGAACATGGACTATTTGTGATCTTTTCTTTCTCTTCCTCTCTCCCTCTTCTTACACATACACACACAGCATAAAACTATCATGAGTATCCAGACGCCAGCAGAGAGATACGTAGGGACCTTATCCTTCATGTCGGCCCCGCCCCGAGATAACTTCGGGACGAGAACCCTTCGCAAGCTGAAGTGCAGGACGGCATCGAATCTCTCTTCCTATTGGGGAGAAACACCGCAAACTCCCAGTGTATTACATGTACTATCTTTATGGGACTTACGAGGTAGTTGATCCACCGGGAAATTTCAAACACCCCTCGCAAACGATAACCATGATACGCCGATCACTCGATCTGACAGCAGAGTCCATGATTTACGGCGCGTCTAAATGAGAGCAAAAACCGAAACGCGCAGAGTAAAAAAAATGGAGTTCAGTGTCCGCCTCGAGCCGGTGTGGATAAGCGGCGCCGAGCTATCGCTGGCGGGATCGGCGACCGTGGACTTTCTACCGAGCACCCGCCCTCCGCCTCCCCATTAGCCACTTTCTCGATTGTTGGCCGCGCGGAGAGAAACACGCGTCGCGTCGGGAGCGATAAACGCTCGGGCGCTGCCCCGCCGCGCTGAAGCCGCTCCAGCTGTCGTCGCCGCCCCGCCGCCGCCACCCACCGCCGCCTCCCGCTAATCTCCTCCTCACCGTTAGCCAATTCCTCCTCCCACCGCCCGGTCACTTGGCCACACCGTCTGACCACTCATCGCCTTCGCCAAATGCCGAACGCGCCCACGCTAACTCGTCCATCGTCCATCTGTTCGCCGTCACCTCGCTTACAGTCCAGGCCGTCCACGCCACCGTCCACCGTCCACCGGTCCACCGTCCACCGTCACCCTACGACGTCCACCGTGCACCGATCGCACGCGTCCACCGTCTGGATGACCGTCTCACCGTTTACCCGTCTAACGTCAAACCGTCTAACCGTCTAAGCCGTCTCTGCGTCTACCGATCTGTCTACCGTCTATCTACGTCTACGGTCCGTCTCCGGTCTACCGTCGTAACGTCTACCGTTACGTTATCCGTCTACCGTCTATCTACGCGGTCTACCGCTACCGTATTACCGTCTACCGTCACCGTCTTGAAGCCGTCTACCGTTCCTACCGTCTACCGGCTAGCCGTCTAACCGTCTACCGTACTACCGTCTACCGTCTACCGTCTACCGTCTACCGTCCTACCGTCTCTACACCGTCTACCGGTCTACCGTCTTCGTACCGCGTCACGTCTACCGTCTATTCCTTAAACGGTCCTACCGTCTTAAACGTCTACCGTCTTACCGTCTTACCGTCTGAGTAGTCTGACCGGTTCTACACCGTTATCGTCTACCGGTCTACCGCTCTACTCACGCGTTACCGTACCGTCATAGTCACGCTCCCCTACCAGTCTACCGTCTACCGTCTACCAGCTCTTACCTGTCTACCTGTTACCTCTACCGTCTACCGTCACCGTCTACTCGTCTACCTCACCGTCTACCGTCTACCGTCTACCGTCTACCGTCCTCTACCGTCTACCGGGACTCTACCGTCTACCGTACCTTACGTCATACCGTCTAGCCGTACCTCTACCGTCGTCCGATCACGTCTACCTGTCTCGGTTACCTGCACGTCTACCGTCTATACCGTCTAGCCACCGTCCTACCGTCTACCGTTACTCACCTCTACCGTCTACGTCTACCGTCTACCGTCTACCGTCTACCGTCTACCGTTCTACTCTACGTGCTACCGTCTAACGTGCCGTCTACGGTTTACCGCTACGTATATCCGTCTACACCGTCTCTCCTCACCGTCTCGCATACCGCTCGCTACGCACTACGTTACTGTAGTCTACCGTACTCTACCGTCACGTCTACGTCTACCGTCTCCTCACCGATACTCTACTCTCCGTCTCCGCTACCGTCTACGCACCGTTCCACCGCACGTCTACCGTCCACCGTCTACCGTCACCGTCCACGTCTACCGTCACCTCACCCACCAGCCGTCCACCCCACCGTACGTCAGTCCACCGTCCACCAGTCAGTCCAGCGTCCTGCCACCTGCTCAGACCGGCCACCGCCCCTCCACAGCCGTCCCACCGCCTCACCGCCACCGCCATCTACACTCGCCACGCCCACCGCCCACCCCCACCGCGCACCGCCCACGCCACACGGCACCAACCGCACCACCCCGCAACACGCACCATACCCCACCGCCACACCGCGCCACCGCCCACCGCCCACCGCCCCTACCGCCCGCGCCGTGCACCGCCACCGCCCACTGCCCACGCCGCACACGACCCATAGCACGCCCACCACGTCCACCGCCACCGGCCACGCCCACCGCCACCGCCCACCGCCACGCCACACCGGCTACACCGCCAACGTCCCCACCGCACACCGTCCCACCGTCCCCCTCCCCCGTCCCCCTCCCGCCCTCCGTACCCATTCCGGCCCCGCCCCCCGACCGCACGTTGCGTCCCCCGTCCCCGTCCGCCCCCGTCCCCCGTCCTACCGTCCCCGTCCCGCTCCCGTCCCCCGTCGGCCCCGTCCCCCCGGCCCCCGATCCCCGTCCCCCGTCCCCCGCATTCCCGGTCCCCCGTCCCCGCCCGATGTCCCCCGTTTAGCGTCTACCGTCCAATGTCCACTCTCCATCATCCACCGTCCACCGTTCTCCACCCTCCGCCCACCGTCTACAGTCTATTGCCTACCGTGTACCGCCAACCGTCCACTACCCGGCGTCGAGCGTTCTCTGCCCGGCGCCCGCCACCCGCCGCCCGGCGTCCTCCATCCGACGCTCTCCAACCGCCCTCGGCCGCGCGCCGCTGCGACGTCTCCGAGCCTCGCTGATCACCTGGCGCGGTTGGCAGACAAGGCTGGACAAGCTGAGTCAGTCAATGACTTTTGGAATGCTCATCCCATGCATATACTGCTTTTTTGTAATTCTTTCTTCAGTTAACAATGTCGGCTAGAGAGCACATCACTAAAGACTGTAACGTTTTCATCATCAACAATTGTGGAAGGTGCAATGTTGCAATGAGTGTAAATGTGAAAAGGTTGAATAGAATGTGTCAGTCGATGGCTCTTTGAATTGTCACCCCATGGGTCGCAATTTTGCCGTTTCCTTCTGTAATCCTTTCATTAGAAAATCTCTCGACCTAAGAGAAAGGAACAAACGAGTGTTTAAAATTTCATCGTGGGTGACTGCGGAGAAGGGTGGCAAGGCTGGATAAGATGAGTGATTCGGTTTTAGGATGTCATAGAAAGCATTGTTATTTTTCTGCAGTTCTTCCAACATGTCTTTACCAGAGTTATGGATGTAAAAGTAAACAACAGTTTTGTGCAGTACGATTACACTTTTTCGTACTGTATAATTGCTTGCGTGGCTTCATACGATTTACAAGTCTAAGCTACATTCGTTGCGTGTTGATATGGGATTGTTTTTTTAATGTATTAGGGTATTTCTAAAATAAATTATTTTTTCTGACAAAGGGGTATAACTTTCTTTAATTAGTATGCATGTTTGATTTTTATAGTATTTTGCTATCATACCTTTCAACATTCTTCCAGTACTAATATTTTTTCCAGAACAAAAAAATGAAAAATTATGAAAATTAGAATTCCGAATCACGAGAAAGAGCAGACGGCTGCTATTTTCAAGTATCAGAGCATCTGGCCGCTAGAA